TGCAACAGAACACTACAATGACAATTGGTGCAACAGAACACTGAAATGAGAATTGGTGTAACAGAACATTGAAATGCAACAGAACACTACAATGACAATTGGTGCAACAGAACACTGAAATGAGAATTGGTGTAACAGAACACTGAAATGAGAATTGGTGTAACAGAACACTGAAATGAGAATTGGTGTAACAGAACACTGGAATGAGAATTAGTGGAACACACTGTTTAACATATTGCAATAAGAAAATACTATAATATTGTTACCTGATGCAGTAAGACAAGTTGTCTTTTATGCTTTGTTTCTTCTTCTTGTTTAATCAATGAATAGATTTTTAATTGTGCATTATTATGGTCTCGTTCTCGTGCAAAATTATCTCTCTTGTATTTCCCCAAATCATTATAAGTTGTTGAGCCTAGAAAGAGATGAACTACATCTATCGATATGTACAGTGTTGATAAACAAATTTAACAACAGCATACATGTACAAGTGTGGTTGAACATGATTTTCCAGACATCAGAAATTAGTTTTTTGTAAGCATGTATAGGTATTACATGACACATGGTGAAATTATACAAACTTTGATTTCATGAAATTTTACACTTAAAATATCCAAATAAATTGTATTCGTCATCAACTTGACATCTCCTAATATCAAGTACATAATATAACAATCTCCACATGAGTAATATCATGATTTGCATATATGTAAATAATGTTTTGGATGGGGAAACAATGTTGCGACCAATCCACTAATAAGTCTGATTTAAGTATTGATTTCTTGCTTTATCTATTTTGAAATAATAATTTTTTTTTTTGAAATACAAAGCGCTAAATGAACACCATATAAAGTCACATACCTACCTTGATATATTTGATATTTTAGTTAGAATAGAAAGATCTTTAAAGCATGTAATGAAGGTTGTTGCGCAGAGATTATCTTTCCAAGTACCTAGTCAGTACTCACAATATTTTGGTTTAATTGGTTTGTTCTAATGATACATGGAATTGTTATTCAGAGTGAAATTCATGTATATATTATCTGAGAGGCATGTATTAAAAATATAACTGCCCAAATATGGGCACAAGGAGAACGTTTGCTATCTGATGTCAAACAAACGTTCTTCTACAGTACAGTTGGGGCATAACTTAACTGGATATGAGCTACCTTTTCCTTTTCATAAAAAAAGTAGAATTTTGAAAATGAACATCAATGCCATCGATAATTACAACATATTCTTTGTAGTATTTAACAATGTTGATATGTGCAAGTTTTGAAAGCAAGATAGCTGAATCAAGCTCAGCTAAGTTATGTTTTGACTGTACTGTAAAATGGCCAGTAATATTAAAAATAACATATCATAATTTTCCATAAACAGTATTTTGTCTGGAAAATGGTGTACAAGCACACATATTAAAATCACCATAGCGCAATGATACATGTATAAATGATTGCTGAATAAAACCAAACTATATTGAGTTATATTTTTAAAGTGTTATGTTTATTGACGAAATAGCTGAATCTGCGTACCTTTCAAGGTTTCCATGACAACTGCCTGATTGATTGTATAGGCCATAGAAATATATATAATTGAAATATGCATGGTTGAAAAGAAATCATGACTGAACCATTACATTAAGTTATGGTTGCATTTATTGGTTGATTCACTTGAAAGTTTATGATAACATGATCACCAGGTTCCAATCACATGATGACTAGTTCCTTATCACATGATGACCAGTTTCTGATCACATGATGACCAGTTCCTGATCACATGATGACCAGTTTATGATCACATGATGACCAGTTTCTGATCACATGATATGACCAGTTCCTGATCACATGATACCCAGTTTATCACATGATGATCAGTTCCTGATCACATATGACCAGTTCCTGATCACATGATGACCAGTTCCTGATCACATGATACCCAGTTCCTGATCACATGATGACCAGTTCCTGATCACATGATGACCAGTTCCTGATCACATGATGACCAGTTCCTGATCACACGATGACCAGTTTCTGATCACACGATGACCAGTTTCTGATCACATGATGACCAGTTTCTGATCAAATGATGACCAGTTTCTGATCACATATTCAGTCTGTCATCACAAGTCTCCAATCACATTGACAACATTTTATGTTGCTCATTACTATACTTTCATTACAACTACAAAGAGTAAAGGGTTATTGATCCTAGGTAATTGTAGAAACCTTGAAATGTACATAGATTGTAGATAGAAATGATTATTTAAGCATCTCACTGCAAGCTGTTATAGTGACATCATCTACTTACAATACATGTCAATAAATAGTCACGTGTCTGTAAATGAAGAAAATCAGTCTTACAATATCTACAGTTACTAACACTCAGTTGACAAAAACGTCCTCTGATTATAATCTTTAGAAGACAATCTATAGAAACATTTGATATTTTTGAGGGAGTATACATCCATAATGCAACAATCAATACCGACAAACTGAATGTAATTCATCATATCAAGTTTTGATCAAAATTGGCCAAGTCATCTCAGAGAACAGATTAAAGACTAGTTAATGCATTTAAGATTTAATGAACCTGGAAATATTGAAGTTGTGAATATAGCCATTGTTGAGATAAGAATATGATGGTCTTTTGAAAGATTACTCTTGAATGTTCCAAACAGAAATATCATCCATTAAGTAGTCTAGAGTAGGAAGGTTATATTCAGAGTATACTGCAATAGAGAGAACTTCAAGGGGGTAGGAGAATGGGTAACAATAGGTAACAGATTTGACAGAATGCAACAAAGGACTGGAAGAATGGGTAATCATGGGGGTTGGAAGAATACGTAAACATACTGTTAAGAAAATGAGTAACATAGATGAGTATATAACACATGGTTGGAAGAATAGGTAACCATAGTGTTGGAAGAATAGGTAACATGGGAGTTGAAAGAATACATAAACATACTGTTGGGAGAATACAAAAACATACCGTTGGGAAAATGAGTAACAAAGATGGGTATATAACACATGGTTTGGTGAATGGGTAATCATAGGGTTAGACTTGGAGGTACCCATAGAGTTGAGAGAATGAGTAACAGATGGTTTGGTGAATAGGTACATGTAACCATGGGGTTGGGAGAATAGAGTGCTCACCTTTATATTTATCCATCTTACTCCTCTCTGAATTTTTTAAACTTGTCACATTTGTTATACTTCTTTTTGGAGTTGTCAAGGTGTATGTCTTCTCAGATTGATCAGGCCAAGCACTCACATCTGGTGAATCAGTACGAGTGGATGGGGTACTTGAAATTAACCTGCAAATAGAAGTATATTGTCAAATATTCTCATTGGTTGATTGGTACCATGTGCAGCCCTGTTATCAGATGATAATAATGGGACAGTGCTTGAGGTCAATGCATTGGTACCTGAAATATGATTGTGTATGTAGGGAGGAAGCAGCCATCATCATTCATGAAGTGCAGTTAGTCTGTTTACCTCACTCCAAAAACCCAAATAACCAGTCTGGTACACATCACCTCCATATCTACCTCTCTCCTCAAATACAAATAACCAGTCTGGTACATATCACCTCCATATGTACCTCTCTCCTCGAACCCAAATAGCCAGCCTGGTTCACATCACCTCCATATCTACCTCTCTCCCAAAACCCAAATAACCAGTCTGGTTCACATCATCCCCATATCTACCTCTCTCCCAAAACCCAAATAACCAGTCTGGTTCACATCACCTTCATATCTACCTCTCTCCTCAAACCCAAATATCCAGTCTGGTTCACATCACCTCCATATCTACCTCTCTCCCAAAACCCAAATAACCACTCTGGTTCACATCACCTCCATATCTACCTCTCTCCCAAAACCCAAATACCCAGTTTGGTTCACCTCCATATCTACCTCTCTCCCAAAACTCAAATAACTAGTTTGGTACACATCTGCCCAAGTACTTACATTAAATGACTATCTGGTACAGTCTGGTACACTGAGTCTCCTTTTACTGGTGGTGTTCTCCCAACATTACATTTCCTCATACTATGCACTAGACTGTAATTGTTGCCATAGTTACCAACACTTTTTTTATAACTTTTATATTTTAAGCTTGAGGGATTTGACAGTGTTGTTACATTGTACTGCTGTTTCCATGGTGATGGTTTAGGAACAGATCTACAACTGCTAGCCCTACTGGAGGCAGATTTAAAACTTTGCCTACTGTGAAACATATCTCTTGACTGTAATGTTGCAATGTTTGTTTGATATAGTCTTCTTGGTGTTTCACTACTGTGGGAAATTGTAGTGGAGCGCTGTGGTTGATATGATGTTGATTTCACTGTAGTAGTAGAGTGCTGTGGTGGTTCTTGTGTTGATTGTAACCATTTCTCTATTCTTTTATCTTTACTTTGATAAGAATCACCAGAAGAAATCTCTTTTGTGTCTGTTTCTATTGTAACATCTTTTCCCTCAGCATTTTCTTGATTTGTTTCCATGACTACTCCAGATTTCCAAGAATCCGTTCCAACATCAGTATCACTGTCACATACATGTGCTGCTTTGTTATCCAATGTATTAGAAGTTCCGTGATTTAATGTGTTTGATTTAATATTGTCATTTGTCATCAATGTTCTGTCATTCATAGTGTTAAGTGTTTCTTCAAAGTGTCTACTTCTGGTGCTCTGCCTTCGCATAACGTCAAATGGCGCAGTACTAGTTTTTAATTTGAAGCCATCAACCAAAAAATGGTCCATATTAATAATGCTTAGTTTGGGTAGATCTTCACATATTTTATCTTTCTCACTAACACTTGGTACACTGTCTGTGATTGGTTCTTTCATTTTGTCCTTCCTACTAACACTTGATACTTTATCTGTGATTGGTTCGTTCATTTTGTCTTTCTCACTAACACTTGATACGCTGTCTGTGATTGGTTCTTTCATATCACAATCAGTAGATAACTGGCTGCCTGGTTTATCTGATTTCTGACTTCTACTGCACTCAATTATATTATTATTTCTAAAAGGTTTGGTCTGCAAAGTAGAGAAAACATGAGGTTAAAAACCAATATGGTTTAAAGTTATTAATAAACTTATAAGGTTATAGGCCCAGAAGGGTACTTGCAAAAAATACTGACCAGGGTGTGTAGCTGGTTGTTTGAAACCCCTACCCCTTTTCCGACAGAGGTGGTGAATTTGGGACCCCTTTTGGCGGCACATATACATATAGCACTTCAATGTGAGTAACCCCCCCCCCCCCCGGGTTATAGCCAAATGTTTTAAGGCACTTTGAGCCAAATTCAAATTTCGCACTACTGAGCATGTTACTGCACATATCTTCCCATTGTAAATAATGGAAACTTGTTTTCCATGAAATTCAGGACGACTATTTCAAAAACTCATCCAGCCATTCTTTTTTTTTCAACTTGTTATGATACGAACTCATAGTAATAAAAGTATGACAAACATGACATATATTCATAATAATTTGGCGTAAAAAGAAACTTGTTATATATGGCTTAGTCTTCTCCACAAAACCCTAACCCTAACCTTAAATTTTGAACGGCTTCAAACATCGCCATGTCACAGAAATAAATTTGATGAGAATATTTAGTTTACACCTTTTTTCCCGCCTACTTTGCAGCTCGATTCATTTGTGCTGACATGACGTGACACCCATTTTGGAATTGTTAAACACTGATGGCGCTATTCATTTTGTGTTTCACAGTGTGAAATTTTCTCAGATATTATTAGGCCAATGAAAAAAAATGCGAGTTAGGGTTAGGGTTTTGTTTCATTTCATTTCATGGAAAAGACTAAGCTGTTATAAACCCATACATTGAAATTCATTGCAATCAACAGATCTTTCTTATTTCTGATCTCTACATTGGAATAACTGTGACAAACCCAACAGATTATAAACATATATTTTTATAAACTAGATTTCAAAATCTAAATATAAATTGCTGATGAAAATAAATACATAAAAAAAACTTACATTTGACCCAGTTGATGTAGTTTGCTGTCCATTCCTATAAAATCAAATGAAAACAATGGTTATTTCGGTAATCAAGCATTAAAATAAAATGCTGCAAAAATGAAGGTCAAAAGAGCTGAAGATAAACTTATAAACTTATTAAGTTTGAATAAAATGAAATATATAATGAAATATAAATTTGCATATGTGTGAAATGATGTACTGTAAAGTGGTTAATTATTTTAAGTTTTAAGTTTGCTTATTTCGCTGACTGGAAAATGCGCTAAATTCAAACCCGGTGAATATGTAAAATTAAGCATAGAACACATTATCGAAATGATAAAACCGTGAATTTAAAACCCACTGAATATGCCTGAATTTGTAAATCAGCGAAATTTAATTTAGTCATTTTACAATATGACGTATATATAAAGTTTGCACATGTTATGTTCAGGCATGTCATAGATATAGCCCCGGAACATCATTGGTTAAAACAAAACAGTAGTTTTGGAAATGCAGATTTGCTTAAAGAGCAGTGGTCATTGTGCCAAACATGCACAAGATATGAAACTCATATAAGACGGCAACTGTTGTGCAGACAAAGGAATACAAATTGAGACATTGCTAAACTTTTTTAATAAATTTTGTTAGTGATTGGATGGTAGCGAAGGAGTCATGTGCATTAATTAGTGTAGTCGCACCAAGGTCAAAACTCTTACTTGGATTGTGGGAAAATCAATGTTTCTCAACATCAATGTCAGACATTGCGAGGCACAACGACCATCGACTTTCAATTTTTAGCAAAAACATGGCTGCAATTCGTCCATCTCAAATTCAGATTGTAAAATAAATGTATGAGCATTATGTATCCCATGATGCATGTGTGAAGTTTGAATGTGATTGGTTCAGGCATGTTCAATGTAAAGTGGAGATGAAAGCATGCATGCACATAGGTCAAAACTTAAGTCCCTGTTTTCAGACCTTGTTCAAATGGGGACTAATGAAGGTTTCCATGGTAACCTAAAAAATGGATGTTGTTTCTGCCTTGAAATGTTTTGACTCAAATGGGAAAAAATTTGGTTACACAATATAAATATGTATAAATCTGAAAATAATTGCTGCAATACTGACTTGCATCTCAGGTATACATTAAGTATCAATATGTAAAGGAATTTCACCATGTATATCAATTTGTACATGTGATTATTTCTATTTATTGAATACAGTTCTGTTCTTGAGAAACTAATGACATTGGCACGTATCTTAATCACGCGAATGACCAGGGTATATTTTGTTCAACAGAAGTTAGATAGATAATAATTACAGTCAATATACAGCAGTTGATAATTTATACGATTCTATTATATTCTATTATATTCTATTCTACTGTAAAGGGGGTAATTATTCACTGGGTTTTAATTTAGCTTATTTCGCTGACTGGAAAAATGCGCTAAATTAAAACACAGTGAATATGTAAAATTTAGCATAAAATACATTATCTAAATGACGAAACAGTGAATTTAAAACCCACTGAATATGCCTGAAATGGTAAATCAGTGAAATTTAAACCCAGTGAAAATTAGTCATTTTACAGTATTCTATTCTAATACAATTCTGTTGTTCATCTATACTAAATTTACCTATGACACTAACCTAGACTCGTCAGGGTATGTGCGAGCTTTGTTATTCGGATATCTATCCATAGACAACTCAAAATCAATATAAAATTTGCCTTTCTTTCTATTTCTATAAAAAAAGTCATTCACATATATTATACACTCAAAAACATAGCATAATTATTACAACCTTGTCTATTGAGAACCTTTATTAAATAACAAATGTATGAATAGATAACAACCATCCTATGTACATTAAAAAGTGTACATAGAATTTGCATCATAATCAAACTTGGCTGAGAATCCAAACTGGTTATTGTAATATGCAAGTTTGTAAGAAATTGTAACCACAAGACAAACATTTTATGACCGAGTGAATGACAACAATGAAGACTGACATTTTCCCCTATATACCTTGCCTTTCATTATAATGATATGGACAAGTAAAAAAAAACCAGCAAACAATACGCTAATGCATTATATTCAACATTTTATGACCGAGTGAATGACAACAATGAAGACTGACATTTTCCCCTATATACCTTGCCTTTCATCTATAATGATATGGACAAGTAAAAAAAAACCAGCAAACAATATGCTAATGCATTATATTCAACATTTTATGACCGAGTGAAT